GGGCAGGGTGTGTGTGTGTGTGCACATGTAGGGCTCCAAAAGATGGGGACTTATGTCTGATTAGGAATAAGCCATAAGAAACAGATGGAAGTCCACAGCATTCCTGATGTGCAGTTATGTATGTTGGTTATGACAATATTAATTATTCTAATCTTGCAAGTTGATCACTAGGTGAGGCTGGTTGATAAAATCTAGGTATAGCTATTGCAAATCTCCGATGCTTTATAGACATTGTGCTGTAACAATTGATATTTTGATATTTTTTTACCTTTATAATTAGTTCATCATTATTAAGTGGTGTAGCCCTCATTTTTTTTTTTTTGTGTGTGGTAATTATGCAATTAATTTACCCTTTTAATGTAATCTTTATTTTACCTAATGGTTGTTGTTATTATTTTTGTTTGGGTTTTGTTTAGTTTAATATTACCTTACTGCTGGGGCTATGTATAAAACAAATTAAACTATTAAAATTAAGTCAAAGGCAGTGACTAAATTGGGATGGAATGATCAGTAATAGCATTCTACCTGTTGAGGATTCAAGTCATTAGCATTTCTGGTGTTCTGATTTGAAGAAAAAAGTGCTTTGTTGTACCAACCTGCTGCTTCAGAGTTGATCAAATCCCAATTTAACCACTGGCCAGAGACAAAGTTTGAAAGATGAAAGATACAGGTTTTGTGGTCGATAAATATTTAGTTTGGTTGAACTGTCTGTGGTGGTATCGTTAAGAAGGTTTGTGTTTTGTGCTGGTATTAGAAGTTTCCTTTGCTTGAACAGTTTACACTAATAGTGGGAAATTGCTGTTGTACAACTTCTCCATAATCCAAATATTTTAAGGATATAAGATTATAATTTGTGTAATATTGAAACTAAGTAACCACATCAGTTGTTCTATTTGTAACTTAATTCTGTATAATGTCATTTTTTTTTATTTGATTATAATTTCATATGTCATATCATGTTTGTATAATAATGCAATCAATTGTACAGCTTAAAAGTAAATGTACTAGTCAGAATATTGTGTAACATAAATTGTATAACTAATTTTTATAGGCTTATACAAAAAATATTGGAACAGTAATATGTATAAAATAATGAATTATATAATTAACTTTTAAAAAGATAGGCATTTGTATTTGTTAGGAATGGTAAAAATTAATGAAGAAAGTTGAAATTGCATTTACTGTTGGTAATGAAACTTAAACTATAAAACAAAAGTATCAGTATATGTTGATTTTTTGCATGTGTTAGACATTGACTTGTTCTATGCCTAAAGCAATAAAAGTATATTTAATATATAGTTTTGTCGTGGTGCTGGTTCGAACTTAATTGGAATAGTATGTTCATTTTGATCACTTTATTTAAAAAAGGATATTAAATTGTTTGAGAGGGTTCAGAGAAGTTTCTGATATGATTTCAGGTTTTAAGATAGGTTGAGATTTCTTAATGCTTTTTCACTGGATGGGAGAAGTGCTTGAGAGGACATATTGTTGAGGTTTTTAAGTTTGTTAGCAGTTTGGAATCTATAAATTTAGATAATTTTCAAAAAATGTGCAGAAAGTAAAACTAGAGAATACATATTTGAGGTATGGACAACTCAGATGTCAGTTTAGGCAGTGTTGTTTTTGTATAGAGTGGTCAGCTTATGAAATAATTTACCTTTAGATGTCACCTTATAATAGAAGGCTTGAAGCTGCAACATTAATGGAGTTTTAGAAGAGATTGGATGAATATTTTAGAAATCTGGGTATGATGTAAGAAAAAGGAGTTTATTTAGTTTGGAGTAGGGTGATAGTAGAAAATGGGATAGATTCTATTGATAGGGAAATGGTCTCTTGTTTTCCCTTGAAAATGAAACAGTAGGATTTAGATATGAAAGCTAGATGCAATTTAATTTTTGACAGAAAGTTTTTGTTTTTTAATTTGTGGAATGATTTTGTAAATGACTCGGCTGTATATGCAGATACATATGTTTCCATTCTTTTAAATTTTGTTGGACAGGTACATGGATTTGAAGCTATATTATGGTAGATGTTTTGGATGAGGGATG